AGGCAAGGCAAAACAAGGAAACACAGAGACTCAGAACGGGGTACAGGCTAAACAATACTCCGCGGAGAATGGTTGTTTGAGTGGGTGTTATATAGTGAGGAAGTGATATGAAACAGCTGTGTGCAATCAGTGCAGTGTGTAATCAGTGCAATGAATGATGGGATATGTAGTCCGGGGTGCTATGCAACAGTTTGTGCGAGAGTCAATGTAATGGAAAGGGTGACCTCTGGTGGTGAATGAATGGAAGTCCATGGACAGGATTCGTGACATACTACACACTGTTTAATAGGAGGTAGCAAAATCTGACAGGGTAGCACAAATCGACAGAACACCTGACTTCGGATGCTTTCACTTTCGATTTACAATAAAAGATAATTGTCTGTTTTGCATACATCTATACACTTTTCACTTTTTAATATTGACTAGTACATTACAGAACGTAATGCGCCCCCCGCCAGCGCAGCACTGATGAGGGGGCGGCTGAGGTAATGAAAGGGGGCGTTGACGTAGCACAAAGTAAAAAAACAAAACAAAAAACATATGTGGCACATTCACGTATTTGTCGGACCGTAACCAAACCTTCCGGCTACTATCAGAATACTGGGTTCACACAGATAGTGTTTTGGTCACGAGACAGGTCAGTGGAAGTTGTTTTTTTTAAACCGCAAGGTCTAGAGACTTGTTTTTAGAAGCTGAATTTCTTTAAACTTGAGCGCTGTGTTTTAGATTGATGTATGCTATAGCCTACAGCAGTGGCGTAGCAAGTCAGCCCCGGGCCCATATGCAAAAAAATGTATTGAGCCCCCCAAACCTTACTGGCTCCAATGCGGTTAACTTATTGTTGATTTTTCTGAAGCGATTAACGTTAGGTGTATTCACAAACTGTTTTATTTATGGTATAAATGCTTGGAAATAATATTTAATGAACATTCATCGTTTGTAGCACGCAAGCCACCCAATAATCGCAATAAGCTTTGTGCTTTGTTACTTATATTAAAACACAAAGTGTCACCCTTCTGTCAATTTTATTATAAAATACTAGGCTACAAACAATAAATATGTTTTTACGCTTCTAAATTTGTAGTGAGATATATTCGTATTATATCCTATATTCGTCTCAGTTCAAGCAGCATGTGAATCAATGACATTTTCATCTTTAATATTTGCAGCACGAAATAAACATGCACAATCTTGGCACAAAAGCCCAAAAAACAAAAACAAAAAATAAATAAATAAATAAATAAAATACTAAGGAGATATTTGAATTATTTATTAATGAACTAGTATTTTCTGAGTCAGTGTCACAAGATGAAGTTGACAATCCTGACGCTCCATCTCCTCAGGATGCACGCCTTTTTATATATATATTTACCATGTCTGTGAAGCATTTGTTGAGTTTCGGTTCATCATTGTGAAGTGCTCCTGCTCAAGATCAAGACAACAGAAAGCACATCCTGTTTGTTTTCCTTAATAATTTTACAAAAGCACAGGTTTTTGTTGATATTGTTTATGAGTGCACACAAATAAAAGTAGACCCTTTACAATTCCGAATGATGTATTACTCTTACCTTTATTAACAAAAATGACGGTGTATGCTAAGTTTCCACTCAAAAAAATGCAAATGATTGCGCTGGCGCCCCCATGTCCTGCAGAGCACGCTTCAGTTTCCACTCTCCACACAAACGACTGTGTCAAATGCGTCTAACAGCACACATTTATCTAGGTTAAATTTTTTAATTAATATTGTGAATTGCATGAAGTGCGTTTTACTCACCCCCGAGGCATCCTAGGTGTACATTACTTTCTTCTTTCAGACGAATCCAGTCGGAGTTATATAAAAAATTGTCTTTGATCTTTCAAGCTCTATCATTGCAGTCAGCGGGTGTTGCATTGCTTCAGTCCATGTCTATAGATCTATGTCTATAGATTTTATTTTAGGTAAGTCATGTTGATTTGAGAAGGCTAAATTGATCAAACATATATGCTCAACAGTCTGCCGCTGGAGGCCCTTACTTAAAAAAAACAACTTGAATTTAACAAACATAAAATGTTTCAAACATATTTCTAAATTAACTTAATAAAGAAACGAAAAGAAATATAATCACTTTGCCATTAAAAATCAAAACTGGACTAGCCTATTTGCTGCAACAGCAGCTGTGTAAATGGGAAGAAAGAGAGAGAGAGAAAAAAGACACGGGCTCGGGTCAGACTCAGTCCGAGAATATTCTGATAAGCTGTCGGAAGGGCCGGGCCCGTGCAGGGCTCTATTCATTCCCTCGTTTCAATTAAAGGTTCTCCCTCGGCTCAGCGGGCCCACAACATGCCCGGGTCCATATGCACCTGCATACCCTGCATACAAGACGCTACGCCCCTGACCTACAGTCAGCGCTCTGGGTAAATACATCCACATCCCCACCCCCTGCTCCGCCATTGGTACGGTCCAACTGGGAGCGCAAAACAGAGAAGTGGAAAATCAGAATAATGAGTAATTTTTTGTTAGTTCAAAAATCAGATTCGGGCGCAACAATCCAAACTTGAAAAATTGAACATTAAAATGAAAGAAAATTATCCGTCTGTAAATTGCTCCAAAAAAAATTTTAATTAAAGTTTGAAGCCAACTTTTAATTTGGTTCATTTTGATGGTGCGAATTGAACAAAGAACTGCAAAGGGTTACACGGACCAATTCATGTTCATTTTGTGATTTAAGTAAATATGAAAATATGAAAAGACAATCGGTTCATGTGTGCTGCTTGAACTGAGGCGCTACATACATTGAACTGTCACGACACATTAAAGAGCCACAAAACAGTATTATTGCGTTCATTTCTTTAAAAAAATGATACAATTATCATAGCAACAGTAACTAAGGAGGGCGGGTTTTTTGAGAAGGGTCAATTCTGGTAAGAAATTTCAGAATTATAAGATAAAAAGTCACAAAATCCCTTTTTTATCTGGCAGAAAAAAAAACAGAATTGAGAGATTAAGTCAGAATTATATATATATATATATATATATATATATATATATATATATATATATATATATATATATA